GACATGGCTCGCAACCGACACCAATGGCGCGTCTGCTGGCGTCTCTTAATCGGATTGCCTGTTTAAGGTGTATTTGGTGTTGAGGTATCAGAGGGGTAATGGCTGATTATGGCGCATGGTAGTGAAAGCCGCAAGGAAGCTGTCTCGCCGATGCCGCCTTATCTTTGCACGATAGCCAGCTGGTTATGACGGTTTGTTGTCTATACAAGGGCGTTAAGGTTTTCAGGTAAATCCCCCTTCTTTCCCTCTTATTATTCTTTATTTATCATGGTTGTATGGCAGCGAGGCATCAGTTCAAATGGCTGGTGTACTGCTGTTGTTGATTGTTGTTAATCTTTAGGGTGCTACTCAGAAGGATACCTGTGATATATCGATGAAGAACATGATCTCATATTCCCTTCTGACTGAAATTCAGGCTGTATTTGGGCGATGGAGCACAACTGCTGCTTCCATTTTTGGGGCAAGGGAAATGAAATCCCCAGCATCTGTGATTAGTCCAGATACTTGGCTTAAGGAAGTACTCTTCGATGACGTTCCAAGAAGTATGAGGTCTCCCCAGTCATGTGCAACTGAGGGACTTATGGTTTATGTGGTTAAGATTGCACGCCGGAGAATGAAAAAACAGGTTAAGATCCGAGTCACCAGATCAGCCATATTCCGTGACGTAAATGCCAACTTACTCTGCAGCGACGTACAATCGCTGCACTATCTCCTCGGACCCAAGTAAAAATTCAGCTAACTATCGAAAGTGCGGCAGAAAATGGGCTGTCCTCTCGGGTTCTACGCTCGAAGAAGACTTTAAGAGAACAGCTGCGGCAGGCTTTACTGAATTTACGGTATAGAAACGCTTGTAGCTTAAGGAACGAGTGGGGGAACTGACACTGAGTTGCAGAGCTGTTGATGTGATTGCGATTACAGAGACCTGGGTTTCCCCAAATGATTCAGTTAATGAGTGTCTCCTAACCGAATTCTCGGGGTACAAAAAGACCCTTTCGGAGGTCATAATGGAGGTGGGTTGCTTTTGCCTATACGATCTTACTCATTGGGAATCTCCGTTCACCATGTACACTCCAGGTGTTCAAGTCTCTATGTTTACTGAGAGTGGAGGGTAAAGTTGGATTAACTGTCTGGCTTTACCGCAGCCCATTCTCAATGCGAGAGGACAAAGTGCTTAGTATGCTGCTAAAATGAGCTGCGCATTAAGCAGCAAACTTTGTGATAGTTGGCGACTGGGAGCATGCACTTAATAGGGCAGGTTCTTGCAAGACTTATTTCAGTGGATGCACGAATACGCCTCTGTGCAACGCGTTAATTTTCCAACTAGAAGACGCGACGGAAACCTTTCTTCTTCCCTAAATGTTGTGATCACTAAACATGGTCGGCTATCTGCTATTACCGTGGAGGTTGCCATAGGTAAGAACGATCACTTTGTTTCCCAACCTATCAGCTAAACCCCGTTTGGCGCGAGATCTAAACCGGATTAATACCACGCTTTTGAGGTATAGAGCTGTACACATTACTTGGGTTCCCGGTTAGGAGAAGGCAACTCTGGAACAGAGGTGGCATGTGCTTAGAAGCGGTCTCACACAGTTGCTAGAGTAGTTTGCTCCCCTACGCAGAATGCGCCACTTGATCAAGCCTCGCTGGCACCGAAGAATTGATAGCGCATTAGCGCGTCGAGACACTATGGAAAAGGTTCCATGAGTCTTATAAATTCCGTAGGTGGTTAAGCCACCAAAAATGTCTAAATCTGGTCGTCAAATTACAGAGACAGGCCAAATACCACTATGAGCTTAGGCTGGTACATAGTGTAAAGATGAATCCGAAGCACTATTACAGCTACGTGCAGTCGAGGTCCTCCTTCATGGAATCCGTCGGCAATTTAACTACCGAAGATGAACTTCAGGTTACGTAACACCTGGATAAGGCGCGGAAGTTCCTGTGTGATTTCCAAAACGTTCATCGAGTGATTGGCGGATAATCAATCCTTTTGGAGTCTCAATGCGTAAGCAAGTGCGAAACGGGGGAAATCGCTTTGACGGCATTGAATGTTCTCTCTGTGTTGAAGGACCTAAACCCATACAAATCTCTTGACCCTGATAACGTGCAATTAGCCATTATTAAGCCGATTACCGATGTTATCCAGCTTCCAGTACTTGAATTGTACAAAAGGTTTTCTTGAGGGAAAAGTACCGCAATATTAGAATGAAGAAGTGGTTGAGATCCTTAAAAGGGAATCAAAATCCTCGCTTTGCGGCACAACAGCTGAGGTGTTTTCCATTTCTAGCTAACGTGTATACTGATGAAGGGATCTTCGCCTAATAACTACCTGCCTGTTAGTTTTACTAGCGCATTTCTGAAATGTCAGAAAAAGCTTATTAGAGATAAAATCTGTGAACATTTGGCAAAGCAAATTGCCAAACAGGACATTGGGTCACTACACAGTCTCTGGAACTTATGGATGCTCGCCGACGTATTCCGGCTGGAAGCGAATACCATGAGGCTCGCAAAATTCTCGGGGCAAAACTACGTGCTAGCCTGAAGAAAGACCGCGAAACCTGGTGGTCTCATCGTGCCTCTGAGATGGAAACAGCCGCTACCGTTGGCAATCATCGTAAGTTATTCCGTCTGATACGGGAAACAGGCAGCAGGAGACCTGGTGTTAGCGAGACTACGCGACGAGGGTGGGCAGCCGATCCACAGCCTGTCAAAACGCTTGGAGCGTTGGGCTGAACACTGCAAGGCAACTTAACCAACCTGAGTGATCGGTTTCTTTTTTGGGCATTGAGTGCCCTTCTCCCTGGGCCGTCTCCGTGGACCCGCCCTCACGCGCAGAAGTCGAACGTGAGATCAGGCTGTTGAAATTGCATAAGGCCGCAGGGGCAGATGGAATTCCCCAGCCCTCTTCAAATCCGGGGGACTTGCTCTAATAGATGATCTACACGAGTTGCTAGTGAAACTTTGGGAGCAGGAGACTGTCCCGACAGACTGGAACCGCTCCGTCATTGTCCCAATTTTCAAGGGAGGCTCCCGTTTAGAATGCGGCAATCAAAGAGGGATCAGTCTGATTTCGATTGCCTCTAAATTGCTTGCCTCTGTCATTCTCCACAGACTGACTGACACTCGTGAAAGCCAGATTCGTGAAGAGCAAACCGGATTTTGTCGAGCTCGGGAATGCATCCACCACATTTGTACTTTCTGATTTGGAAGTGGCTGTATCATGACCAGAGTGGCTGCATCGGTTATCCGTACTGTCAACGGAAACAACACTTAGGACATAGCCTAGCCGTGGGCGATTAAGATTCAGCAAACACTCCAGTGAGGCGCCAGGTTTCTTGCCAAAAACCAACTAGGGGACCTCATCATTGCTCACCCGGTGTTCCCACCAGACGTGAGCAATGCTCCGCAAGCACCGGTGGTCAAACACAACCAAGCGTTTAATGTCTTTGCCGCGAACTGGCCAGGTCTCTGATCCATACAGTAAGACTGACCTTACCGCAGCGTTATACACCCTACCTTTCACTGACAAACTGACATCCCTCTGTCTCCATGGATGGTTGAGCCCCTAGAAAGCCACACGGGCTTTGCTGATCCGCGAAGTAACCTCTTCAGTGATGTGACCACCAGAAGTAACACAGCCAAGGTAATTGAACCGATCCACCACTTGCAATGGTTGTTCGGTGATAGCTAGAACCGAAGGTTTGTCGGTCCAGTCCTGAAGCAGTATTCCACTTTGAAGGTGCAAAGCACATGCCGAAGCGTGCGGTGCTTCGCATCAGTCTATCCAGCAGTGTTTGCATAGCCACTACGTCGGACCCAAGAAGAGCTATGTCGTCCGCATACTCCAGGTTTGTCAGTCGATCACCTGGTAGAACTTCCACTCCAATAGAAAATGAAAGAACGGAGTCACTCATAATCATTTCGATAACAAAGTATCACATTAAGCCCCATTCTCGTCGCCACGGGATGCAGAATATATTCAAAGTTTAACGAAATAGTCATGATTGTGAGCTTTATGGGATACTGTCAAATAACTCAAATCTAAGTAAGTGAACGATTATGGTCCTCAGCCAAATCATTTCGCTCAAAAACCCGATCACAGGGCAGTGATAAGATATCAACGATCCGGTTTTAACTAGACAGACGTCATCCCACTTCTGTGGTCCAACTGCTATGAGACGAAGTTCGTCTGACTAACCATTTACTAACCGGGTAGGGGTAGTTCTCAGGGGATCCGAAAATATCATTTGGTGTAACTTGGTGTATCACTGCGGCACATAAATCGTCGCACTACGTCAAGATCCAATCTAGTCTGGATAAATGTTGATTCTTGTTATCATGGCAGCGCCCGTCCTCTTAAATGAATCAGACTATATCGGCACTCCGACCATAATTATTTTACTAGGCTGAATTAAATTGGATTTAATATAAAATAATTAAGCCCCTGCAATTGCTGTCGCCTGTTGCATGACTTCTCATCCTTCAGTCTGCTGTATTCGTCGTCTTCAAGCCTCACGGTTTTCTTTTTATCCTTAGCCTCGTCTTCTCGTTTCTTTTATCACGGCTATGTGAGACTGTCCACACCGTCGAGCATAACGGGTACTTGTCAATCGTGCCTTTGCGGACCATCATTCTTTTGCACACCGTTACCGTACTGAGGATTTGTCTCTTAGTCAACAACCCTTATTGTATTTTCGGTGTTCGCTGTAATAGCTAAACTACAGTCACAATAAACAGCTCACCGTCACCGATCTTGCGTTCTATCAAAAGGAAAGATGCTACGGTTCAGTGTTCCAATGTTTTGTAGATGAGGCTACGAGCTTGAATTACTCATTCAAGACGTGCTTCGATAAAATGTTATACTACTCGTCATTGTACAACTTCCAAGTTGCGATTCGTTTACTGGGACTGTGCTTTTCATAAGTTTCTTTCGCGTTATGCTCTTTGACTGATCTTTTTCGCCGATATACACTTATTCTTTCAGGTGTTCTCTACTGACAATGGACGATAATGATGCACCTGTCGCACGCACCTTCTCCGAACAGAAACGTGCTCGTCTTACCACTGACAAAACGATTCGGAAAGCCATATCGGATAGTAGGAGACGCAGAAAGGAGGCAAGGAAAGTCAAACATGCTGAAAGGATTAGCAAAGTATTCCGCTGCCTTTGCCACATACTTGTTTGTGCTCACTAAAGAAAGCTTTAGATTCCGATTTGTGCAATAAGGAACTCACCACTGTCGTACGTGTTTACTTTGTTGCTCTAAAACTACACTATAGGACGAAGTAGTTCTGAAGGATCATGTGGAAGTTAAGACCTCGGGAGGTGCTTCATCATCACCCTCCCAATTGCCACTTGATGAATTTACTCTGTCAAATCGTTTCGATGCGGCGGATTATATTCCTTTGGTGACTCAATCCGATTCCATATCATCGGGTGGTAATCAAAACAACCACTCTAAAATCATCAAATTTGAGGAATCAGAATACCCAGGTCAGTGAGATTATAAATTCTTTTTTTTGACTACTCATTTTTGCTGTATACGCATTTATGTTGGTCATTTCTAGCATTCAAATATTTTTCATACCGAAATCTCTTGTGTTCGCTAGTCGTTGTTACCACACACCACTCCACCTTTACTTTGTCT